ACTTTGTCGTATTTGTGTGGTGTATTAGGACATGGGCTGAGCATCCCTACTCTCATAGGTAGTCAGGGACGAAGTACGACCAATAATGTTCTTATAAGGAGTTAGTGGGACAGTGTTCGTGGGATTCTGATTAAGAATGTAACCGGTTTTTAAACCCTCCCTAAAAATCTTGTGAAAGCTTGGCATTTTCTATCATGCTCCTCACCATCTCCACCAAGGTCATATTCCGTCTCTTGGCTACCCCAGTTTGTTGAGGAGTGTATACCGTAATATATTTGGTGTATGATACCATGCTCAGTGCAAGCTCCTTAAATAACTATGATGAATACCTGCCGAACCTATTGGTTTCTAAAGACCTTAATTTTCTGGTTTGTTTGGTTCTCTACCTCGGCTTTATGCTCTATGCCTCAAACCGCCCTAGGCGAGTGTACTAAGGCGCTTGCCTAGGAGGTCTAAAAGGTGGGTGCCGCCTCAAAAATTGAAGTCCAAGGGCGGAAAATGACCCTAGGTCAGGAGGTATTTTCGACATTTTCCCTTTAAAAGCAAGGGGGGGGGGGGGAAGGTTTTGGGGCATTCTTGCCCCCCATAACCTTTCTAATGTGGTTTAGAGAGAGAAAAACCCTCTAAAAAACAAGATTTGAAGATTTCTTAAGAGATCAAAATTTTTCTCTACCTCGAATGCTCACAAAATCGAAGGATGTTCATCCCGCATCTTTTTGGGGCTTATAGTGGTTGTAAAAGAGGAGATTTGGGAATCAAAACTTTTCGATTTGGGCTGTTATCGAATCCATTTTGAGAAGGTTGGTATATTCAATATTTCTAATGTGGGTTATGTATTCTTTTTTTGTGTAAAATGTGTTATGATGTTATTCCTTACTTTTTATTTTGTTTTTGATACTTTATAATATGTATTTGATATGTTATCCACTATTTGGATCATTCTCCGATTTTGATATTTAGTTTAGGAAAGCAAAACTCAAGATATTAAAGAGGGAATGTATTAAGTCTTCCTACTTCATTTCCTATTTATAATTTTTTAGATGATCATTTTTTAATATTCTTTGAATGATTAATTTGTAATTTCAAATATTTAGATTACATAGCTGTAAATTAATCTTGCTTTTATATACGTAACTACAATTTCAACTTCTTCTAAATGTACTCAAGTTTGACTTTGTTGTTTTTTTTGTAATTTTCAGGATTAAGTGGTAAGTTGATACTTGATAGCTTAGGGTTGTCGGTGAAAATGTCTTCCTTGAGTTCAAGTAAACAAGCTGATCCAGTTTGGAAATATAAGTATTGTCCCAACCCTAATGACAAGAATAGGGTAGCTTGCAAATTTTGCGAAAAGGCGTATAATGCTGGCCTTAATAAGTCAAAAAAGCATTTGGCCGACAAGAGAGGGGATGTAGCGCCATGTATTCAAGTCCTTGGTGAGGATAGAAAAGAGATGTTGGATCTTTTAGGAGGGGTCGAAAAGAAGAAAGAACAAACAAGGAAACAATATGAAAACATCAGGGCCTTTGTAAATATCCATGAAATAGATGAAGATGAAGAGGGAGGGGCCTCCATATCTAGACCAAGTACCATTGGGCAAAAGAGACCTCGAAGAAGGGGCTTATTGATACATTCTTCCCCTTCCTGATCCCAAGGTGGTGGTTTGTGAAGGAATCCGGTGGAGACTAGTTTAGAGAGTCATTTGACGAAGCAGGAGAAAGGGTTTATTATTAGTATGTGGCTTGACAATATTTTCAAGCAGGTCTACTGTTTAATACTGCCAGTTTGAGAAGTTTTGAAGCGATGTTGGAGGCAATGAGGGAGTTTGGCCTAGGATACACGCTACACCTTATAAGCTCAAGTGGCCTTTGTTGAAGAAAGAGGTGGAACTAACAAATGACTACTTGAAGACCCACATGGTAGATGTGGGTGGTTAGGTGCCTCGATCTCGCCCTCCGAATCTCGATGATCTAGAGGCACGTATCTCGGGTTTCTGACGAACCCCGGATTTGAGATCGCTCTCTCGGAACCTTGCTCGAGAGCAAGGGCAGGTATACCAACCGATGATAGAGGAATTTAAGGTGGATTCGGGACTTACTCGGGTTGGCTCGTGTAGGTGCCCTCTTAGATCACGAAAAAAGCCCCCTAGCTGCTTTAGCTGGTTCGGAATCGCCTCCCTTGACCTGCAATCCTCTTGTTTTCTGCACAACACTTCTATGGTTAATTTGCGAGACAAGTGGGTCAAAGAGACCCACCCTTGTCTTAGGGCACCGTACGTTCACACGAGAGGGCGATGAAGCGTAAGGTTCAAATAAAGATAGAAAAGGGAAGAAAACTTGACGAAGAGGCGAGACTAGCATTGCAGCCGGGAAGTCGACTCGGAGTGGTAGCAAGATGGGCATGGTTCTTAGAACCAGCACGGCGGCAATGCTATTCGAAATCGAGACCGATAGGGCGGTGCTAGGCTAGGTCTACTCTCGATCAAGCGAGAAGAGACAAGAGAATGAAAAGAAGAGACGAGACGGCAGAAAGATGAGGTCTCGACGGCGCTAGGCATTGCCTCTCACGACCGTGGAGTAGTAATGTCGTGGCCCTTAGGCAACACTCGACACTTCTGCTCATGGCTAGAGAGTGAGGAATGAACTACGGACGGCGCTAGGCATCGCCGCTGGCAACATAAGAAAACAACACGCTGCCATGCGGGCGGCGATAGTTTCTAATGAAGCGCGCGCCGATGGTTATTCATGATGCACGACGATAGGCGTGGGGACGTAAGAAGGACGACGATGAACGTCGAACACACGAAGGAAGCTCGTGAGCGGCGGTAGACGTTGTCGAATTTCCTGCACTTTCTTCATAGATCAGCAACTTCTCTCTAGCCTTTCTTCGCGCTCGGGTGTTGTCACAAGGTGTGCCGCATATCGAATCGCTCGTCTTGACTAGATAAACATGCTCACCAAATTTGAGTGTGATCCGACTTGGGACGGGTGAAATATGAGCATCGAAAGTCACTTTTTGTGACTGTCCGTTCCATGGCGTGGCATTGCATGGTGGCCGCACGGGAATAGCGTGCCCCTCCTGTTTGACTCTTTTGCCTATAACTTCTTCCTGGAGTGTCCGTTTGGGTTGAAATTTGACCTCGGAGGGTTTTCGACCGTGCCAGATCCAATGGTGGTGGTCCCACAACGATTTGAGACACCAAAAATGTAGCTCTAGTTATAAGGGATGTTTCAGGGTGCTAGAGGTTGATTCTGCTGGAACTGTTCCTCAATCTGCACTGCCTTAGACATGTTGGACTACGACGAAACTTGGCCGGAGACTTTTGAGAGACCTTATGAAGATCTTGGCCGATTCCAAGGCTATTATGAGACTGCCGGAATTTCCAGTGTTTGTTAGGCTTTATTGAGCAGGGGCCCCATGTTGATGAATAATATCTTCCCCATGCGTGTGTATATATAGAGAGTGCAGGCTTAACGAGGTGGAAGTGCTAAGAGTGGGAAGGTTCTGTGGGTATAGGTGGTGCTGGACAGAGGTGGCAATGGATCAGTGGCCCGGCTCGGTCTGTCTTAGGCAATCTTGAAATGTGGCCCAAAGGCTTGATTAGAGCTCGGAAACTAGGGTCTGAAGTCCAAATTAAGTCGCACTTTATTTTAAATGTTGGCGATAATTTGTTCCAAATTATTTGTGGTGTTTGTATTAGGTAGGGATGGGTGGGTTCTATAAATAAATCTTTAGGTAGGGATGGGTGGGTTCTATAAATAAATCTTTCTCTCATATACAAAGACATCTATAAAATGAAATGGTCTATAATTCTTTTTAAGATTAATTATATTTATTTATTTTTAATATTTAATCCTTTTTAAGATTAATTATATTTATCTCTTTTTTATAATCTACAAATATAAAGTACATATAATTAATCTTTAATTACATATAATTACAAAAATAAAATTTTATATAATAATTTACAAAAATTAACATAATTATATGAAATTGTTGTACCAGCTCATAGGATATTAAAAAAAGCAAAAAATAATACTAGTACTTAGGGATTATAGTTGGTTGGGTTGTAATAATTTTGTAGTTAGATAGGTTGTAATAATTTTGGATTATAGGTAGGTTGTAATAATTTGGGTTTTTTTTAGCGGATTAGGGTTTTCCTCCAATTCGATATTTTAGTGGCAATTTTTTCATCGATTTAATCCATTCTTTGTTGTAGTCCATGTATGATTATATACTTCATCCATGATAATTCTATGATTTTTCTTTTGTGTGATGTAAAATTAATGGTTAACATAAGTTCATACAGGGAAAGAACATCTCAATATTCGCAAATTGATGAAAAAAATGAAGGTTAATAATGTAATACCCCAATTTTTTTTTGGATTCCTAAAAAACAACATTTGTAATGAATTTTAATAATTTTTTGGACTTTTTTTAAGGTTTAATTCGACCGATTCGGCTGATTCCTTATCCGGATTGCCGATTCACCGATCCGAATGGGTTATTGGGGTGTCCAATCTAGGGTACCGATCCGTTTTTTAAACCACTGATTCAAACCATGTTTGTCTCCTCAGATTGGAAGGAGAGAAAGTGGTCTAAGGAGCCAAAGGGCAAAAAGGTCGATGACATTGTTATGGTGCCTAGGTTTTGGAGTGGGGTTTAGTTTTGCCTCCATATTTTTGTGCTACTTGTGAAAGTGTTTCGCGTTGTTGATAGTGAAAAAGAACTAGCAATGGGACACATTTACAAGGCAATGGTGGTTGCAAAAGAAAAAATCAAGCTGAACTTGAAGCAAGATGAACGTAAATATGGCCCCATTTTGAAAATTGTAGATGACAAGTGGGATATGCAGTTGGAGAGACCCTTACACCTAGCAGGGTCTTTTCTTAACCATGCTTATTTCTATTCTAATCTTCAAATAGAAAGATGGGTTCTTTCTTGAAAGTATTTAATAAGTGTAATGTGAGGCTCCACCATGACTCAGATGTTGAAGACAAAGTGTCTATGGAATTTGACTTCTATCGTTATTGGGGACATTAGGGACGGATATCACGTGAGTATATTCATGTAAGTTGAAGATGTATTTGTCATTTAAATTCTTACTCCTTTGTATTTAACTTGATTAATTTTCTAAAAATTAGTCATATATATGTACTATATTTATTTTTAGTTTTAATTGTATTATAGCTTCTTGGTGGGCAAAGCATGGATAAACTGCCCCCCAACTTGCTATGGTTGGCACAATGGATTTTGGATTTGACTTGGACATTGTTTAGCTGCAAATGCAACTTCATCACATTCGAGATGGTAAATTTTCCATTTACTCTCATTTCCTATTAAGTTCCTAACTAACTTTCTAAATTTTTTTGTTAAGTAACGACTGAAGAGAAATAGACTTCAGCAGAAGAGGCTGAATGACCTTGTTTTGTAATCAGAGGCTAAAGGAGTGTAATCTAGAATGGTTTGAAATTGCAGGCCCATGCTTTGTGAAAGATTTAGATCCTACAAGCGAATGGTTGGTTGAGCAAGATGCTGGGGATGGGCTTGTATTCGAGAGAGAGAGCTTGACATAGACCCAAGTGCAAGAGGCAGTTGGTCTGGCATCGAACCCCATGAGAATTAGATTCCATACTCAGAGAAAGGAGAAGGATATGGGAAAGGAGAAGGGAAGGGGGGGTAGGAGAAGGAGAATGTGCATATGAAGAGGGGGACGATAATGCAGGAGGAGGACAATGTAGAGAGGAGACAAGGGAAGAATGTTTTTATGTGGAGGAGGAAGATGACTCTGATGAAGATGGCTTGACATTATCATCAGATTCAGGTGCACCTGATGCTGGCCCTGGATGTCGACTTGTTGTTGCTAGTGATGATGAAACTCAACCTCATATTTGAGTTCATCATATTTGTAGTGTGAAGAAGACTAATTTTTGTACTTTATATCCTTTGATTGTCGGATGTGACTTTTCTTTATGAGTAATCTGTTGTGACATGTGACTTGCGAGATTTAATAGAGATCTCGAGTTGCTTTTATCTTTTAATGTTGCTTTTAAGTTTTAACTATTTTATTAATAGTTTAAAGTCGTGTATGTTTATGTTTGATTTGTAGTTCTGACTTTTGAACTGCATTTTATACAAAAGATTGTAGAATGTTATTTATTAAACAAAAAAATGGAATTCTGTACACAATAATAGAAGGGGGTGTGGTGCCCCCAACCTCCCCCTTCTCTGCAGGCCGTTAGGTGTGCATGGTATACATGGCCAAAAGGTTCACCAATATCACTATGGACAATATTTAAAATGGCAGTAGCTCTTTGAGCTTTTATAAATGGTTTCTTAGCTTGGTTTCCTTGAACACATGATTCACATCATTTGGTTAAGTTTACATTTAGATTTTTAAATAATCCTTCTCTCTTTAGTCTCTCCATTCATTTGTAATTTATATCGCCCAATCTCATACACCATATATATGCATAATCAACATCTATTATGGCACAACAAATAGAATTCTTTATTGCATTTGAAAGGAAGACATCGACAAGAAGACCATTCATGATTTTTTCTTTGCTCAATTTACTTCCACATTATTGCCGGTAAATATGGTAGTATATCTTGTCTTAGCCACCGTGAGACCGAAATCAAACTCTTTCTCATGTCTAGAGCATAGAGAGTTTGCATTAGGATCTTGCTATTTCCATTCTCAAATTGAATGACATATTCACGAATAGTAAGCATTTCTGTCTTTTGATTTCCACCCATGAAGATATGCTGGTCCCATGTGGTAATAGGTTTAAAAAATCTGAAACCATCCTTGGTGTTAGACACGTGGGCGGTGGAGCCCGAGTGAAAGCACCTTGATCCCCTCTTGGATTCGGCTAGCATAGTCCCTACGATCACACAAGCATGCTCCTTATCATCCCCATGATTTGCGTTCTTCGGTGCCTTGCAATGTTTTGCTACATGCCCATATTTATTGCAGTTATAATACTTGATTTTCTTTAAATCATTATTTTTTCCATGCCCATTATCCCCCTTCCGATTTTCATCTTTCTTATTCTTGTTCTTGCCCTTGCCTTTCTTTTTCTTGAACGAATTAGAGTTGGGCTTCATAGTTACCAGATTCACTGAGTGTCTTGAAGTTGGAGCATTACGTGATATTCTTCTATCTTCTTTTGCTTTAAGCTTGGTGATGATCTCATCCAGCTTTGATGTGCTCTCATGTTAGTGAGAGCGCTCTCATGTTAGTGAGAGCTAAGGTGAAAGCTTCCCATGAACTTTTGTAAAGTGTTGAGCAGGTGGCACACATGCATGTTCTCATCAGGCGGTACTTGTGCCGCTTCAAGCGCTAGTATCAATGCTCTGAATGTATGGATATGGGCTGCTGCAATGTTCCCTCCTTTCATTTTTAAGTACAAGTATTGTTTCATGGCTAGTGTTTTTCTGGTGAGGGAAGGAGTGGCATAATCCTTCTCGAGCGTTTGATGTTTCTCCTTTGTATTCTTTAGGTTTCATACTCGAGAGTGTGTGAGTCATCCATAGCTATTAATAGAAGATTCTTAGCTAGGGTATTTCTGCACTTCCACTGAGCATAAGTATCCCTAATAGCTTGCGTCTCATAAGCATTGCCTCTCAGTTCAGGTGGGGGTCCTTTGTGAGCATCTGACCAAGTCCTTTAAAGGGAACATAACTGATCTTCCTTTCCAAACTTGTATAGGACTTCCCTTTGAACCTTTGGGTCTTCAGTAGTTTAGGCATAAAGCCTTTGGCTGTCATGTTCTTGATTCAAGAAATAAAATATATACCTAAACTGTGGCAGTAGGACTTGCTCTGATACCAATTAAAGGTGTGGCTATGTACAATTCCAAGGTATAAATTCAAAATTTCTTTATTAATAACTGGAATCTACTTAAATAGAGAATAAACCTTCTACAATCTAGGATATTGACTTTTATTACCAAACAAAACTATATTCATGATACTTCACACAAACTTTCAATATGAATCCAAAAACAATTAGGAATTCTAATATCAATAGTAGTCTTCGTCTATGTAGGAATCCTAAACTAATTGGTCTCCTTATAAAATTAGGACTTTTAAAAAAAATATGAAGTACTAAAACAAAATGTATAAATAAAATTGGGAAGACTTATTGATCTTTTGGCTAGGTCACCCCCCAGTACTTAGCACACCCCACACCTGATTATTGAACTGATTGTGTACTCATTCCTTGTGTCCTAATGAATCCTCTGAACTTGGGAAGCACCTTTGGAATACCCTCTAACAGATCTATGGTGCTGAGAGCATGGAACAAGACTGGCTGGCTTTCGACCCGTGTACTTTTGGTCATGCCACAAAGACACCTACCCTGACCTCAAGACAAGAAATGGGCTGGGCATACCCCCTAACTTGGCTAGCTGGGTGGTGTGAGCCACCCTTTATGGCTCTGTCTGTTAGGTGGGGAAACACCTGCCCCTAGAGAGAGAGGAGAGAGAGAGAACTAGAGAGGGCTGTGGAGAGGAAAGAGGAGAGAGAGAGAGGTCTGGTCGCAGGTGATGGGAATGAGGGAGCACCCCTCTTTATATAGGCCTTGGTGGCCCTGGGGTATTCTAATCTCAATTAGGATTCGTTTGACCAAAAGATTTCTTGGTAATCTGTGATGAGAGAGAAAACAAATATGAGCCATCCATCATTTAAATTAGCCATCATGATTTGAGGAGGAATTTAGGAAATATATTCACAACCCAAGAAATTACAATACAGATATTCTTGAGATGTGACAGTCCAAAACATATATACATCTCTTGATAGGACAAATTTACAGTGGCGAATTCTTACAAGGTAACAAAAGAAAGTTAGCACAACAACAATATCTTCCAAGTTTGATCCCGACTAGCACTCAAAATGAATCCGTATTTATCCTGAAAAAAAATGTTTACCATAATTTGATGAGTTTGGCTACTCAGTAAGTGATCATCATAATCCTAAAAATAATCATGATTGAAAGATATCAATATTTCAAAAAGGAGATCTATTAACAGGAATGCATTAACAATTTCACTTTCAAAAATACATAATTAAGTATAATCCGAATAATTGAAATACATATCACATTTTAGCATCAATGCATAATTAAAAAGATTTCACAAAATACCCTACTGGCGTCCCAAGTAGGTCACCTATATACCCCATCAGCGTCCTGATAGGTCCACTTAATCCCTATCGGCGTCCCAGATAAGTCCACTTAATCCCTGCAGGTCCACTTATACCTCACCGACATACCGGATGAGTCCACTTAATCCCTACTGGCGTCCCGGATAGGTCCACTTATACCTCACCGGCGAACCGGATGAGTCCATTTGCATACTTAAAGTATTTCTAAATCTCTTTAAATATTCGAAAGCAGCAATATCATGTACTCAACGTATCACTGAAATCATTAATATGAATCTCACTGAAACCATTAATAACATTCACTTTCAATGACATTTCAAAAATAACCAATCAATTATTTTGGGCTCAAATTTAAAAAGGTAGCAGTTCGTAAAGGCATTCTAGCATAATTGCCAGTTTAATATATATAGGAAAAGCTCTTATAGAATTTCAAGAATACGGAATTATCACAATTTATGGGATATCAATTCAACAAATAAACATTTCACAACAATGCTATAATCAATTGCAAAAATATCAATTTTTAAATATAAGGCAGTCATTTGCACATGAATTTTACAATATACTA